GAAATTGCCACTAATATATAGGTGTATACATAAGTTCCTGTTTCCGGTTCTGCCTAATTTACCTTGGCACTGTTTTCATAGAAGTCAAATATTTGGTGCTTTGAAACAAATGCAGAATAGATTCCAGGGTGTGGCCTTTATAGCTCAGTTTCCACAGTTTGTCCATTTAGTTTTCAGATACAAATTACTTCCTCACCAGGACAACAATAGAGGTAAGAAATGGGTCAAAAGCACTGAATTAGGAATCAGAAGTCTAATTGTGTGACCATAGGCAAGCAATGAGCTTTTCTGAGTCTCTGATTCCTCCTCTATAAAATTGAGGCTAAGGTCAAAACTTTATAATGTTTCTTTGAGAAGCAAATCAGATAATGTATAAAAAGACTGCCCATTTATGTTGTTTAAATAATTAAATAGCAAAATCCCAGGCTGTTACAGCCAACAGAGATGGTTGATGGTGCGACAGGAGTTTTGGCCAATCAATGACTTCATCACAAAGCAGACATTTTCAGATAGTACCCCCCACTGGAAACTGTTTTCTTTTCGCTAAAAGTCAGCAAAGCCAGTAACAGCCTCGCAGGCTGTGCTTGGAAGATCAAAAGCGCCTCCTGGTGGAGACATTGAGAGCTGAGAAGGAGACAATACGTTCTTGAGGATAACGTGCAGTCACAGCCAACCTGTCAGAGATCACACACTGAAAGAAAGCAAACTTCCTGAGTCTCTAGCGCTTTATCTAATGCGTGCATTATAAAATCAGAAACAGAAAAATAAATACCATTATGAAGACTGGACTCAAGTGGGGATACTGAGTAATTACATACAGGAAAAAATAAGTTCTCCAGAATGAGTATGAAAGCTCATTCCTATCTAAATCCACAAGGGATGTGAAATGGTAGGGAATACATAAGAAGATTCAATAAATGACATCGAACCGAAATGACTAAATAGAGAATTTAACCATGACCCTGATATTTCTCTTATTTCTCACTAATTTCCTAAAACAATGCTGTCCAACAGAAATATAATGCCAGCTGCACATGAAATTTATATTTCCTAGAAGTAATTTAAAAAGGTAAAACAAAATAAGTGATCTTAATTTTAATAATGTATTTTATTTAACCCAATCTAGCCAAAATATTATCATTTCAATTTATAATCAATATAAAAATTATTAATGAGATATTTTACATTCTTTATTTCATGTGAAGTCTTTGATATCTGATGTGTATTTGTATAAGTATTTTATACTTACAGCATATTTTAGGAACATTTAAACAAAGCCACAGCTCTAGAAGGCAGGGATTGGACATTAACACCAGGTTCATATGATATATTTATATATTATTTTATATCCACTTATTTGAAAGGAAAGCAAAACTTAAAATTGTGTTTGGGATTTAAAATATTTTTGGCCAAGCTCTCTTAGAACTTCTGCAAAAGAGAGAAAGAATGACAGTGGCTATCTCGAAAGCCCCAGGTTTTTGTTTGTTTGTAATCAGAGGCTGAGATATTTGTTGGAGCATCTGAGAATTTCATTGCCATTTCAGATGAATCTTAAGTCTTTAATTAAAAAATATAAGCTTTCTTAAGGCATTATATTTAGAGGCAAAAAGTATTGGTTATAAGTCATCATTAAGCTCCTTCACTGGTCAAGCTTTTATTATTTCTCATAATTATATTAAACACACTATTCTTGACAAATATTAATATAAAGAAATGAAAAATTACATTTAAATGGATAGTCAAACAACTTGACTACACAAAAACCCTTATCCCTTTATATGTAACCCTGGAGTTGTAAAGAAAAAAATTAAAAAAAAAAAATTAAAAACCTTTATCCCTTTAGACAAAATTATAGGAAAATACAGTGGCAGTTAAGGAAAGGACCAGAGCATGTTACTTGTTTGCACAAACATACAACATCCCTGGTCTTGATCGTGAAATTTTAGTAGCATCCTTAGTCATTGTAGCAAAATAAACATTCCTCCAAACTCCCCTTGGTAGGAATGGTACCACCCTCCCAGTTTGAGATGGAGCGTTTGAGACATCTCGTAAAATCTGATCAGTTTAACAAAGCACCTGTGGTTGTAAATATTCTGTATTCTTTAGTTTCCCTCATCAAAGGAAAAAATTATAACATCGACATAAAATCTAAAACAAAAGAAATACCAAAGCTCTTGTAGATCCAACTGAGTTTGCTTTACAGTTTTTTAAAGCTAATACCACCTTAAAGGATGTGTCACAATATTTTCTGACCTCCAAGAGGTGTCTTACATTGTTCTACTTCCATATTCCCACATTTGTTCCTGCTTCTGCATTATCTTATCTTAAATTTAAATCTGAATGAGTTGCATTGTTTTTCTGTGTGTGTTAATAGTCAAAACCATACAATTTGAACTGTTTGGAATGGATTTGGAGGGTTTTTTCTTTAGTTTTCATGAAAGCACATGTTTCTCAATTAGGACCTTGGGGAATAAAGGTTGAGACTTAGTATGTAGAATCATTAGAATGATAATTGTAATTAAATAAACATACATTTCATAGTGGCTGATTTCATTTATGCCATTATAATCAGTTTCCTCCACTGCAGAACAGCAAAATTACTCCTGGCATTGACATCTACTAATTGTTAGAGACTGCGGCAGAAGCAATGTGGAGTTGATGACTATCCTAATGACTGAGATGTATGATGACATCAGTAATTATTTTTTAGTAGATATTTCGTTGGACACAAAAATCACCACTAACATAACTATCTTTAAAATTATATTTATGTATATATGTATGTATGCATGCATGTATGTATATAGCTCAGACGAGTTTACACTGTGAGCATAAACGTTATTTGGTACTTTAGAGCAATGGTCAGCAAACTATGGCCCATGAGCCAAATCCAGCTTGACACCTGGTTTTATAAATAAAATTTTATTACAACACAGACATGCTCATTTGTTTCCATATTGTCTGTGGCTGCTTTTGTACTACAACAACAGAATTGAGTAGTTGCAACAAAGACTGTATGACATGCAAAGTGTAAAATATTTACTATCTATCTTTTTATAGAAAAAAGTTTGCTGACCTCTGAGGTAGACTGTAAATTAAAGGTCAGCAGAATACATGCACATTTTTTCTCTTTTTATGGCTAGACTAGGTTGTACAAAATGGGATCATGGTGTTGTTAATTGTCAGGACCAGTATCTCCTTCCTGTAGAAGGTGTGCATTTACGACTATAAATCTTGGCATGGTGTCATGAGGTGAAAAAGCTGATGAAGTTCACTATTACTAGGTTTAAAAAAATGTATTTTTTAGGGTATTTTAAGGTGGATCTAATCTTTGGGCCAAAGATAATAACACAGGTTTCCAAAATAGCGGGAAAGAATGTAATCTTGGAATGGAATACTTATGTTCATTAGTATTTTGTAATAATTTCAGAACTATCATTTAATAAAGTATCACAAGAGGCTTTCAGTAGGATTGTAGTGGAAAGTTTTGAGTCCATCCATTAACTTTAATTTTTCTAGTTATTGTAGATTTCATGCTCATGAAGCTATTGGTAAGACATACAATCAGTTAAGTCTGACTATTTACAAATTTTGGCCAGTTTATTTTTCAGAAATCCATTTTGAGATTTACTCCTTCAGTTGACTTTGGGTTCTATGGAAAATGAATTTGTTGTTGAATCTGTGACACATTACAGAGTTTCTATGTAATTTGGCCTGTTCAGTGAGTGTCTCCATCACTATTTTTGTTTGTTTTTTGTTGTTTTTGTTTTTTGAGACAGGGTCTCACTCTGTTGCCCAGGCTAGGGTGCAGTGGCATTATGATAGCGCAGTGCAACCTCAAACTCCTGGCTCAAGCAAACCTCCTGGCTCAAGCAAACCTCCTGGCTCAAGCAAACCTCCTGCCTAAGCCTCCTGAGTACCTGGGACTACAGGCACGCACCACCATGCCCAACTTTTCTACTTTTTGTAGAGATGGGGTCTCCTCTTGCTCAGGCTGGTCTCAAACTTCTGGCCTTAAGCAATCCTCCCTCGTAGGCCTCCCAGAGTGCTGGGATTACAGGCTTGAGCCACCACGACCGGCTGGCTCTCCATCACGATTGATGGACAAAGATACAAGGAATTTAGTACTTCTACTTTGAGCCATGACAGAGTTTACTGCTACTGGACTTACCTTCCTATCACAAAAGAGTCTAAAACTGAAAAACTACTTAAAGTAATTGTTTCCAGGCATTGATGAACAGGCAGAACATGATTGTAATCTCCGAGAGCAAAGCACAGGTGAACTTCATAATCAGAAAGGTGAAGGGTCTCTGACCCTTTTCGAGAGTCATCTTCCCTAGAACCCCTCAACTGTCATTCATTTCACATGATTTTACCCATCTTACGTTCGACTTCTTTTTCATGTTTGTCAATGTTCCTCATGAGAGTTGACCCCAGACAGGTAAATACAGCAAACTTCGCTGAGAAGGAAAAAGAGATTCTTGCCCAAATTGTGGAGAAGGCAGTTGAGTCAATGAAATCCAAAGCTAACACTGTAATAAAGGAGAAAAGAACTTTCAAGGAAGCAATTAAAAGGCTATGCACGGATTTATTTTGCCAGAGCTATCAGCCACGCCTCCGCTCGCGCAGTGCGCCTGTGAGCCTAGCAGAAACCCAGTGCCCATTGTACAGTTACTTTCTCGGGTACGGTGCCTGTTCTTTTGACTGCTCCCTTGGTCCAGCCGCCAACCCCTTGCCCCAATTTCCATTTGCAATGGAAGTATCCCACAAACTAAACTGTAACACCCGGACCAAACCAATGGGAGAGAGGCAGTCTACTTTCACTTCCTGGGTCACTTCCGGAATCACTTCCGGGGTCGAGGCGAGGCCAACAACAACCCCACCGTCGAAGGAGGAGTTAGAGGTGGGGTTGCGTCTGCGCACTGCCGGAGCACGGAAGGCGGGTTTTGCGCATGCTCACACAAAGCGCTCTCTAACTCTGCTTCCGGTGAGGGTGTATTCACGTGTTCCGGAGTCAGAAAACTGAACTTAGCTTTACCGGGGAGCTCTGGCTTTAGGCAGGTAAGTGCCGCGGGTATCGTCCTTGGTTCCTGCGTTCAGTGGAACAGGAAAGTGTGCTAGGATTCATCTGTGTTCTGCTTCTGGTATTTTCTCCTCATGCCCTGAAACGTTGGATCCTGAGACCGAGCGGGAGGGTGTGGAGAAGCTTTGGTTACCATGGTAACTGCCTGACGCTAATTTGGGTCTTTGAGGGAAAAGGAGGATGTGCGTAACTACCCCTCAAACTACATGGTGGTGGGTCGGGTTCAAATTCAAGTGTGATTTCAAGTTCATGCTTCTAACCACAAAATTGGATTTTAAAAGGCTTGCAGTGTCTCTAATATGGAGAAACAAAATCTGAGGCACGGTAGCTATTTAGAGAGCTAGTGCAGTAATCTGGACAGAGTTTAAAGATGTCCTGAACCTAGGGTAGTGCTGTAGGATTGCAGAGAAGAAGAAAAATTGGAGAAATTTTGGGAGGTTTTATTAGCAGCACGAATATTCGATTTTATATGGGAAATGAGGGAGAAGGACCCCGAGCATTTTGAGGATTAAGTCCAAATCCAGCTTGGCGTTAATAGCTATCTTTCTAGATTCGTTTTCCACCGTCAGGTCTAACTGCTTTCGTTCCACCTCCTCCACACTCGAATTCAAGTCACGCCAAGTAGTTTGGTGATCTGTTTCCTAGAATGTTGTCCTCAGCTTTTCTATGACGTTAGGCAGGTTACATAATTTCACTAAGCCCCTCAGTTTTTTCAACGTTAACATGGAAGAAAATAATAGTACCCACCGCAGGATTGCCTTGGGGATTAAATTATATCATGTTTATGCCTGGTACATAGTAAGGGCCCAATAAATATTAGCTGTTCGTCCTATTTGTATTGTACTTGTCATATTATTTTGCTGTTGTGCATTTTGCTGTTTCTTCCTCTAGATGTGAGGTTTTAATTTTTTTTTTAGAGGGCAATATCTTATTTATCTTTTTATGCACTTGAAACATAGTAATGAGTCAGTCTTTTTTTTTAATGGATCATTTATTTTGGCTGCTGCTGACTTAAAATCATTTTTCACTTTAAAGGAGCTACCAGGTGTAATGAATTTTGCTGATCAAATGGTATTTATCAGATTAAAAGATGGCTGTTTACAACTCAAAAGCCTGTAGGTTAAGATGTACAGAAAGTAACTGGTATTTTCTGTTTGTAGTAGGTATGAGTGATTTCAGTGAAGAATTGGCAAGGCCTGTGACAAAGGATGACCAGGTGAAAATGTCCGTGCTCTCTGGTACAGGAATGCATTTTCCTTGGCTTCAAAGTTATGTAGAAACTGTGGGTAAGTAAAATAATATAGAACCACTTTAATACAAGGAGGTGGTGAGATTCTATATGGTTACAAAGTGAATAACCAAGCTGGTTTAATTTTCACTATAGGAATATGTGAGGTTTTTTTAGGCTTAAGCAAAAAAGTAATCATAAGAAATTGGTTCTTTTTTCTTTAAGAATCATTTGCCTCGGAATTAATAATAGATAGTCTGTATTATGGTAGATACAGATTTTTTGTCCAGCAATACTTAGCTCTTTTATCTCTGGCATTAGCTAAATATTGAGGATTCGCAGATGAGGAAAATATGATCTCTGCCATTGAGCATATAACTAGGAAGTGTTCAAGAAGTTTCTGGTGAATTGCATTGAAATTATTCCTAATAAAATTGATCGTGTAATAGGTTTCTTAAAAAAGTATTTTTCCACCGTGTTTATCTAATGTAAATACAAGCAAGTTTTTCTATGGAATAAATTCCCTATAAGAACATATTTAAAAAGCAGTTATCTGTATGATGGCATGTTGGGTAATATAGTCCTGGGAGTATATTTAGTCCAGCACTTTTCTTTTTTATTATTTCAATAGATTTAGAGGGTACATGTGATTTTTGTTACATAGATAGATCATATAATGGTGAAGTCAGGGCTTTTAGTGTACCTGTCCCCTGAATGTTGTACATTGTACCTGATAGGTAATTTTTGATCCCTCCTCCCTCCTCTCCACCCTTCTTAGTTTCCAGTGTCCATTATAGCACTTTGTATGAGCATATATACCCATCCTTTAGCTCCCACTTATAAATGAGGACATGTGGTATTTGTTTTTCCATTCCTGAGATAATTCACTTAGGGTGGTGTTGTCCAGTACCATCCGCGTTGCTGCAAAAGACATCATTTCATGAATGAGCACTTTTATTGCCCTCAGATAGGTCTTTCTTAGCCCAGCCTTCTTTCTCCTTGATAGAGATTCCTTAGTTCCTAGAATTTAACTTCCATTTTTTGGTTTTAATCTAAATATTATCTCATTTAATGATCTCAGTAAATTAATCCTCAGTAAATCTATGTGCTAGGCATTTTAGATATGAAGAAACTGAATCTGAAAAAAGTTAAACTCTTAAGTGGTAGTATCAGGAGTCAAATCCAGGTCTATCTGATCTCAAAACCTACACTTTTAACCACTGAGATATAATTTAAAATTGAGATAATATATGTGCATAGCAGGTGTTGAACAATAATAGTTCTTTCCTCTCTTCGTTTTATTTTTGCTAGATTAATGCACATGGCTTAAGGCAGATTTGAATGTATGGTACTTCAGAGGTAGTACTACCTCACCACTTGTAGGGAACTTACTAGTAATCTAAATTTGCTGCTAGTTAAAGCATACCTGGGCGTGTTTCCGTCACCAATGTTCTATAGAGAGCTTGAGTCACTCTGCAAGCAGATAGGTTTAAGACCAGAATTTATATGCTTAGAAATGTTTCATATGTTACAGATAGCCTTTAAATCCCAAATACTTTTTGTCTACAATGAGAAAATACTTGCAAGTAATATTGACATGGTATTGGCAATTAACCATAATAGAAAAACAAATTAGCCTAACAATTACTGTATTAATTCTTTTTTGCTGGTAGATATCTTTTGACATTTTGAAGGGCATGCCTGCTATGCCGCTTAGAATAAGAACTTCGAAGATGAAGCCAGTCTGAATTAAAGCTGTACGCTGAGCACCTAGGGTAGTCCTTGGCACACAGTATAGTGCTCAGAAAATATTTGTTGACAGATTGACAAGTCTCCAGATTCTTTCAGTGGCATTAGCAGTTAGGTTGATGACACTGGCTCTTTATTGTACCTCTCATTCCATGTAAAAATTTATTTTCCTTGAAAATGTTTGTTCTTAAAGTTGGTATCTATTGGGATTTATTCTTACTTGGGATCAAGTAAGATTATCTTTGTTTGCTAAAGAATGAAATGAAAGGAGAGATTTTCCTGAGGTGACTAGGCTAAGTTGGAAGACGGGGGTGTTTTCCAAGGATTTAGGTATAGTTGTCTAAAGTCAATTTCCAGTCTGAGCTGTGAAAGCTTGGGTGATAGAAGGGAACTTAGTCTGAGAACAATCCTTCTTTAGGTAAATAAAGGACATTTTAAGATGAAGTGTTTTGTCAGTTTTTAGGCTGGCTGCCTTGTATTGCCACTGATCCTGAGCAGCTTGTGGTTTAGAGAGCTGGGTGGGGCATAGTATTCTGCATGGCTAATAAGCACGGCCAGGTGATACTAATGCTGCTAGTTCCAGGACCACATTGAGTAGCAAGAGCCAAGGTCTCCAGGCGATTTGTATGTATTTTTAAAAAGTCTGAGATCACGAGTCTTCAAGCGTTTTCACTTACATATCCCCTAGGATGTTTTTGAAAAATTGTGTGCTGCCTTGTACAGTTTTAAGGTACCATCTAAAATTTTATTGTAAGTTTAATAGTTGCAAGAGATATAATTTCCAGCACGTTAGCATTTTTAAATGAAATTATTGTATTACTTTAAAAATATGTCTGATGGAATCTAACTAGCACAGGGATAGCACAGGGATGTAATACCTTTCATTATCCATTTTTAAAAATTTATGAAAAAGCTTTTAATAGATGGAAATTTTATATTGTTCCTTTTTCTGTTGTACTTCTTGCAATAAAAATATGTATCTACATTTAGGCTTATTTTTGTTAATATCCTATAAGTTTTTAAGAATTAAAATTTTTTCTGGGTTGTGACATCATTATAATTAATAATTGTATGCAGCTAATCAAAATAACATGGGCTGGGAGTCGTGGCTTACGCCTGTAATCCTAGCACTTTGGGAGGCCAAGGCGGGGGGGATTGCTTGAGGCCTGGTGTTTATGACCAGCCTGGGCAACATATGGAGACCCCGTCTACAAAAAGTAGAAAAATTAGCCAGGCATGATTGTATGCACTTGTAGTCCCAGCTACTCAGGAAGCTGAGGCAAGAGGATCACTTGAGCCTGGAAGTTCAAGGCTGCAGTGAGCTATGATCATGCCACTGCACTCAAGCCTGGGTGACAGAGTGAGACCCTGTCAATCAATAAATTTTAAAAGTGTTATTAAATTTGAAGTATTAAAAATAAATTTGTTTTTCGTCTCAGTAAAATAGGTAAGGTTAAATCTATCACTTTTTCCCAATTACTTTATATATTTATGGGTGACTATTATGCATTTCTAGAATGAGAAAAGATTTAGCATTGATTCTGTTATATTTTGTTTTAACTGGTAAAAATTCTGAAAAACCTCAGTCACATAAGTAAGATGGCAGTGAATGGAGTTTAGTTATAGCCATGTGTTGGGTCCTTGAACTTTTTCTAAATTATTCATGAAAAATTACATAATGATCTATTATAAAAGATTATTATGTTGTTCTGCAATTATTATAAGCAAAGAACTAGGAATCACCTAACTTGCAAAAGGAAAGCTTAAGAGTCGTTTACTTTTTCAACACCTATATTTTCACCTTCAGATAATATGTAATAATTTTGATTGTGAAGCCTTGACTATAGGCACAACTCTCTAGGAGATTAATTTTAGGAAAGAGTATATAAGATCTGCAAGTTGATTGTTTTAAAAGTATCTTTGCAGAGTACCTATTGGTCTTGGTGTACTTGCAGGGGTAGGGTACCCACCTGGCCTAGAAGGGTCTGGTAGTTGTGTGGGGAGGGAAGAGGAGGTAGCAGTGCAACTAGTCACTCATGTAGTGGGGCTGTCACTAAGCCCAAATATTCTTAATGCTTTAGAGATATAAATACTAATGTCTATAATTATTTTAATCTATTTATATTTAATATTGAGTTATTAGGAACTTAGTCCTTAAAAAATAAAAGCCCACTTGGAGTTTTCAGAACATTGATAGGTAATAAAGACCATGCTTGCCTAGGAAGACCCTGGTGATTTTCACCCATTCTAAATACCTGGCACTGTGCTTTTGGGGGCCTTTTTGAGAGATTCTCCCTAAATTTGTTTAGTGCAAGGATGAAAGGATGACTGAATCAGATTTGAAGGATCTGGTGACTCTAGGAGCCCAATAACATCAAAGTAGATATTTTTTTAATTTGCTAAAAATAGTTACTGTAGTGTGGAATGGTTTGTTTTAAGTGAAGCTGGCTTAGATGTTGGGGATAGGCTGGGTCAAATAATACCTACTGTTTAGTTGTTAAAATTTCTGCGTATTGGAAGGGAAGGCTTTTGAATAGTTGCATTGGAGTCACTGTGGATAAAGACTCTTCTCCTTCATTTTTATAGTGATTGGAGGGAAAAAGAAGAAGGATTTTGCTCAGACAACAAGTGCTTGTTTAAATTTTATCCAGGAAGCTCTGCTGAAGCACCAGTGGCAGCGAGCTGCAGAATACATGCACAGTTATTTGCAGACCTTGGAGGATTCGGATGGCTACAAAAGGCATGCTGCACCTGAGGTGAACAGATAGGAGTCCGCTGAAGAAATGATAGAGTCCCAGGAATTACTGCCTCCTGTTCCACCCACAGTGGCTTTTGCACGATCTCAAATTGATTTTGCTAAAAGCTACTAAAAGTCATTTGGGACGGAAAGTTTGTATTGGGACATTTTTTGCACACTTCTTTTTACCTATGATTATTTTAAAGGAGACTAAAAATAGTTTGACCTCTGAATTCTCAGATTCCCCAATATTCATTCATTCATGCCAATAATTCTTCCTTTTTCCCCTGTGTCATTATTTTCCCCCCTTTATGAGATGTTTCCCAACCCATCATCCTGTGAAGATTTTGTTATTTCTTTTGTCTTAAAGTTATCTCTTGACCCTCACTTCCTCTGCAGGCAGTGCCCATTTTTTCACTCTCCCTTTCAATAAAACTTCTTGAAAGAGTCATTCTCTTTCTCCAACCAGTATGATCCTTTTTTTTTTTTTTTTAGTTTTATTAAGACATAATTAACACCCCATACAATTCACCCATTTAAATTGTACAGTTCAATGTTTTTTTAAAATATATTCAGAGTTGTACAACGATTACCACACTCTACATTCAGAACATTTTTGTGTCCCACAAAACAGAAATCTTGTACGCACTTGAAGTCTTTCCCCATTCCTCCTCCCACTGCCAGACCCTGGCAATCTATTACTTTTTATTCTGAACATTTCATATAAGTGGAATCATATAATATGTGCTTTCTGTGAATGGCTTTTTTCACTTGGCATAATGTTTTCAAGGTTTGTCCATGTCGCAGCATGTATAAGTACTTCATTCTTTTTTTTTGCCAAATAATATTCTATTATATGGGTATAGCATATTTTATGTATCCATTCATCAGTTGTTAGACATTTGGCTTATTTCCACCTTTTCATTATTATGGATAATGCTTCTGTGAACTTTTGTGTACAAGTTTTTGTATGGATGTTTGTTTTAATTTTTCTTGGGCCTGTACCTAGGAGTGGAATTGCTGGGTCATGTAGTAACTGTGTTTAACCTTTTGAGAAACTGCCAGACTGTTTTCCAAAGTGGCCACACCATTTATATTCCCACCAGCAATATTTGAGAGTTCCAGTTTTTCCACATCCTTGCCAATGTCTGTCCTGTCTTTTTAATTGTGTCTATTCTTGTGGTTGTGGATCTCATCCTGGTTATGATTTGCATTTCCCTAATGACTAACGATGCAGAGTGAGCCGTTCAAAACATAAGTCAGATCATACCACTCCTCTGCTGAAAGCACTGTAATAGCTTCCTCTTTCACTCAGAGTACAAGCCAAAGCCCTCATAATTGCCTAGATAAGTTACTACATGATGTGCTTACTCTCTTTCCCCATTTGACCTTTCTGACCTTCTCTCCTATTATAGGTTGAGCATCCCTAATCCAAATATCTGAAATACGAGTGCTGAAAAATCTGAAACTTTGAGTGCTAATATGAGATAGTGACACTTTTGTTTTTGATGGTTCAGTGTACACAAATTTTGTCTCGCACAAAATTATTAAAAATATTGTATAAAATTGTCTTCAGGCTATGTATAAAGGTATATATGAAACAAATTAATTTTGTTTGAGACTTGGGCCCCATCACTAATCTCATTATATATAGGCAAATATTTTTTAAAAATCCTCCGAAAAAAAGAAATGAAATCTGAAACTCTTCTGGTCCGAAGCATTTTGGATGAGGGATGCACTAACTGTACTCTTGCACTGGTTTTTCCTTCTCTGGCCTCACTGGCCTCCTTGTTCTTACTTGAATGGGCCAGGCATACTCCTGCCTCATCCTGTTTGCTATATTTCCTTTACTTGGAAAGATCTTTCTTCAGTTATCACTATGGCTACCCTTCCTCAAGGCCCCTTTTCAATGATTCCTACCTTGATTATTTAAAATTGGAAATGTATTACTGCCCCCACCCCTACTTTCCGACTGACAGTCCTAATCTCCTTATCCTGCTCCATTCTTTTCTCATGACATTTGCCAATTTAATTATTGTGTTTTCTTGGTTATTGTCTGCTTCTCCACATAAAATGTAAAGTTTCATAGGGCAGGGATAAAATAGTGCCTGCATATACTGTTAAATTTGTTTAGTAAAAGACAATTTTTCCATAAATAACTTCATGTAAGTATCTCAGCTTTTACTAATACAGTAGTCATCACATCAATTAGTACCTAATAGAGCCCCCCCCAAAAAATCTGAAAAAAAAGTTTAACCATTGATTGAAAATTTGTCTATGGACTGAAGTTACATACATCTTTAAAACATTGGACAAGTTATAGACTCTTTTTGTCCAGATTTTGTTTTGTAAAATGAAGCAATTGGATCAGTAGTTTTTGAGCACTTGTTTGGCTCTTTTTGAATCACCTATGGCCTTTTTTTTTTTTTTTGAGACAGAGTCTTACTCTGTTGCCCTGGCTAGAGTGAGTACCAGGGCATCAACCTAGCTCACAGCAACCTCAAACTCCTGGGCTCAAGCAATCCTCCTGCCTCAGCCTTCTGAGTAGCTGGGACTACAGGCATGCACCACCATGCCCGGCTAATTTTTTCTATATATTTTTAGTTGTCCAGATAATTTCTTTCTATTTTTTTTTAGTAGAGACGGGGGTCTCGCTCTTGCTCAGGTTGGTTTCGAACTTCTGAGCTCAAACAATCCGCCCGCCTCAGCCTCCCAGAGTGCTAGAATTACAGGCGTGAGCCACCGCGCCCGGCCCACCTAGGGCTTTTGATGAAAATAAAGATTCCTGTATTCCACCCCAGCCGTGCTGGATCAGAGTCTGAATACTTAGAATATTTATTTGTAACAGGTATCCCAGGTAGTTCTTATATACAACTGGGTTTAAGAACAACTAAAATAGATAATCTCCAAATTTTCCGAAAGCTCCCAAATACTACAGTTTGTTATTCTACAAATGAAATCTTGATCTCTCTGAATTGGGAAGAGGAGTGTTATCATTATACCAAATGATAATATATCATTATAGCACTGATAGCATTTTGTATGTCTATACATCCACAACAATATGTTTGTTTACAGAAAGAATTGATTTAATGTTCACTTTAATTCACTTTCAAATTGATACTTACTTTAAGTTGGGATGAGGGAAATAGAGATTTGCTCCCATGAAAAAAGAAGAGCTCCAAGTTCTGTCACCAAAGTTTTGATGATCTGAGGGGAAAATTTTTTTTTTATTAAAATTTGTCCATAGCTGATGAAAATTCTTAAATTGGCATTCTAAATAGAGAATAAATATAGTCAATAGTTCTAGAGTTTGACGAGATCTCGGAAACATCTAGTTCGTTGCCCTCATTTTGCAGATGATAAAGATGAGACTGAGCCGAACGAAGAAGCCAATGTTAGGCTACTAACTTCCTAACGGCGCTGTTATACTTACCTGGTATTTTAATATTAATTTAAATGATTGAAAAGATTTTATCACGTAGATTGTAATGATTGGGCAAATTACAGTAAGATGTTGACAGTATTGGTCTTAGGAAAAGGAATTATAGGTTGTTTATTAATGTTGTAATCAGAAAAAAAAAACTGTCAGGCAGAAATTGGTTAATGGAAGGATTTTACATTTTGATAGTAATTTCTGCTTTAACAGATTATTTGGAAGCTTGGAAGTGAAATTCTGTTTTATCATCCCAAAAGCAACGTGGAGACTTTCAATACTTTTGCTGACCGGATGAAAAATATTGGTGTCATGAATTATTTAAAGGTAAGAATGTAGGCTTTATAAATTTACATTTGCAGTGTTCATTTTTTTTTTTAAATTGTGTATGTCAGTAATAAAGTAGATAATAATGTAAAAAGCATGGGAAAAAGGGTAAGGCATCTAGATAAGTAAGAGAAACTTGTGAGAACCATTTATTTTACTTCTTGGTTTCCAGTCACCTACCATGTTCTTTGACTGAAAATACCATCTTTTTGCATCTCCTGCACTGCTGAAGCCAGTCCTTCAGAGACCGCAATTGTACTTCATATGATGATGGACCAAATTCTAATATGTTTATCTAAGTCATTGGAGCTTAGAGTTGGTGTTTTTGGAAAAAGGAAAGTGCTAAACAGTTGGGAATTTGAATACACGAACTTGTTTTAATGTTCTTAATGTTTAGGTGGGACCTTCTCTCCAAATTCATGTATTCTTTAATAAAAATCTTATCCAAAGGGATTGAGACATTTCCAAAATGTTATTTATGCCTCTTTGTGATATATTTTTGACTCAAAGAATACTTTTTCAATACAGTTTTATAAATGCTTTGCTTTAAATTTTTTTCGGTGACCATAAAGTATTATTGGAACACTGCCACACCTGTTCATTTCCATATTGTCAATAGCTACTTTTGCATGATAGTGACCAAGCTGATTGATTGTGACAGAAATCATATGGCCCACAAAGCCTAAAATGTTTACTCTCTGACTCTTTTTAAGTTTTTTTTTTATTTTTTCTGTTTTCCAAATTTTTTTATTGTGGTAAAATATACGTAGTATAAAATATGCTATTTTAACCATTTTTAAGTATACAATTCAGTGGTGTTAATTATATTCACAGCATTGTTTCACCATCACCACTATTTCCAAAACTTTTCCATTACCTGAAACAGAAACTTTGTACTCATCAAGCAATAACTCCCAGGTAGACTGTCAGTGGAAATTAAATGGTGGCAGCTAAGGTTCCACTTAAGGAAGAACTTTCTAATTGAACAAAATTGAAAAAAGGAATGGCCTGCCTTGATGTTATGAGTATACTCCCCATCTCTTTTTTCAGGTAGCAACTGGATAACCATTGATTGGGGAGGGAGTGTGGGGTTTTATAACTAAATTGTTGGTTAGGTCCCTTTTAGCTCATAGACTTTGCTTAGTTGAAGTAAAGAAACTGGAAAGGAGCCTCATTTCTCACACTCCAGAGCTGGAGGACGATAATTCAGACAGGCAATAAAACATTTTTTTTTGTTGTTAATAATTTTTAAAACCACCTATGGGCCAGGCGCAGTGGCTCACGCCTGTAATCCTAGCTCTCTGGGAGGCCAAGGCGGGCGGATTGTTTGAGCTCAGGAGTTCGAAACCAGCCTGAGCAAGAGCGAGACCCTGTCTCTACTAAAAATAGAAAGAAATTAATCAGACAACTAAAAATATATAGAAAAAATTAGCCGGGCATGGTGGCACATGCCTGTAGTCCCAGCTACTCAGGAGGCTGAGGCAAGAGGATCACTTGAGCCCAGGAGTTTGAGGTTGCTGTGAGCTGGGCTGACGCCACGACACTCTAGCCTGGGCAACACAGTGAGACTCTGTCTCAAAAAAAAAAAAAAAAAAAAAACACCTATGACTGTTTTTCAGGCAATGTGCTAGACATGGTTCTTTCAGTAGAGGGAGACAGGCATGTAAAGGGAATGAAGTGCTGTGGGTACATATGCATACAGTTAGAAGAGAAAGGAGAAAATGCTTAGCTCTCTGGGAGCTGGGACTGAGTGGGTCGGGAATCAGGATGAGAAAGGAAGTGATGGTTGAGATAGTTTGAAAAAGCAAGTGGGTGTTCACTAGGTAGGCTGGGGAAAGGGTAGTTCGGCATGGCAACAGGTAATGAAGAGTTTGATAGCCCTGTATCTGAGGCTTTAGTTACTCTAAAAATTACCTGGGCAGGGGAAGTAGACAGCGCCCTGTGTGCCATACCTAAGGAGCCTGGATTTTATTCTGTAGGCAGTGAGAGCCATTGAGGGGTTTTGTACAAATAACTAACAAGATGAGATTTCTTTGGTAGCCACTCAGAGGATGGATTGTAGGAATGGAGAGACCATTGGGGAAATTATTGCAATAATTTGAGATGACAACCTTGAACTCTGATCTGTCTCTCTCTATATGATTAATTGTACTTCTCATTATTCTCTTTAATGTCATCGCTTCTTGTAATGCTGTTCTTTGTATAATTATTCTTATTGCTTCTCCTGTATTAGGAGTGTACTTTCCTTTCCATGTGAACTAAAGCCATTCTTTCACACCCCTTGTTAACATGTTTTCTCTAAGCTTATATAACATATAAAAAATAGTTAAATTTATTGATTGTCTGCTATGAGCCAAACTAGGCATTAGGTGATATGCAAACGCTCTCTCATTTAATCCTCAAAACACCCTTCTGAAGGTTTAATAATAATTGTTCTGTATAACAGATGAGATTCACAAATAAATAATTTGTGAATTATTATTGTGAATTATTCACAAATAGATGAATAATTTACCCAGGTTTATTTAGCTTTTAGGTGGCATATGAACTAGAATACTGTCTTTAAAGCCCCTGTTTTTTTCCATTATATCACATTGTCTTCTGTTTGCAAATTTACATAATTTAGCTCTTATTTATATAGTGTTAATTGCTTCTTGTGTCTTTCCTCTTTCCTAAATTGAAAGTTTTGGTTGGATTTTTTTTTTTTTTTTTTTTTTTGAGGCAGGGTCTTCCTCAGTTGCCCAGGCTGGAGTGCAGTGGTGGGCAATCATAGCTCCCTGCAGCCTCGAACTCCAGGGCTCAAGCAGTCTTCCTGCCTCAGCCTTCTGAGTAGCTGGGACTATGGGCATATGCCACCATGATTGAAAATTTTGATGTCAGGAACAATGTCATGTCATTCATATCCTGCCTGGTCATAGTGCAGTATATATAGTATATTTCTTCAGTATTTTGACTAATGGTTATCTAATGACTAAAATGTCAGTGGGCTTTTTCTCATAATTTTTGCAGATTTCCTTACAACATGCATTATACCTTGTGCATCATGGAATGCTTGAGGATGCTGACAGAAATCTGAGTCAGGCAGAGACATGGAGATATGGTGAAAAGTCATCTTCCCAAGAAGTATTAATCAACCTTGTTCAGGCCTATAAAGGGCTTTTGCAGTATTATAATTGGTCTACAAAGAAGAAGGAATTGTCAAAGCTTGGTGAGTAAACCTTGTGGGTGAGACTGAAGGGCAGAGGGAGATTTTTTTTTTTTTAAGAGACAGGATCTTGCTGTGTTGCCTGGGCTGGACTTAGAACTCTTGAGTTGAAGTCATCCACCCCACCTCAGCCTCCAAGTAGCTAGAACTACAGGCTACTGGTACCTGGCATGGGCAGAGGGATCTTAAGGAGCAATCTAGTAATTTCCCCACTGCATCCAGATATTACAGAGAGCAGGCATTTTATTGATTTAATTCTTGATCATCCTTTATAATATTTTCTGATACATCAAAAAACTTTTCGGTCATAAATTAGATTTAAGTCATTGCTTTTTAAGATTTGATTTTGTCAAGGATAAACACAACTGGACATAAGTCAGAGCTGTGAAAACAGATTTTATTCAGTAACTACTGATAGTAGAGGAAAGAGCTAAGCTACATTCTGATTTGCACAGAGGTAACTTTGTTTTTAAAGAGACAGTGCTTCGGGGGGGTCTTGAGCAGAGTCAGGGAAGTGAAAAATTGAAAAAGCAGAAGGGAGGGTTGGTTCATGTGAAACCCATCTGTGTTTACTGACTGGTGCTTATGGAAGTTAGGTGCCTACTCTCCCAAGAGATTGAGAGACAAGGTCCTGTCTTCAGGTGTTGGCTGGAACCAACAGTAAATTCTTTGGGCAGCCTTGAGTTTTCTCAGGCAGGCACTTTAAGGCGGATTAGGGTCATTGTAGAGATGTGACCTTGAGCTGCTGGAAACTATGTTAGTGTTTGTTCAAGCCTTTATAGGTCAAGGTCAGGGCCTAGTCTAGAAGAGGGCTCAGAGGAGCCTGCCTGGGGTTTGGTTAAGGAGAGAATCTTAGTCAATTTCCAAGAAAGGCTGTAGATTTTCTCCAACAGTCATTATTGCATATGGTATACATTTCTTCCTGTGTGTTTAGAATGGAATTTAATTTGTTTTATAATGTCATTTCTTAGAATAATATGTTTAAAGAATAGAGCAAGATAAAATCATTTCCTTTTTTTTTTTTTTTTCTTGAGACAGAGTCTTACTCTGTTGCCCTGGCTAGAGTGCCGTGGAATCAGCCTCACTCACAGCAACCTCCAACTCCTGGACTCAAGCGATCCTTCTGCCTCAGCCTCCCGAGTAGTTGGGACTACAGGCATGCGCCACCATGCCCAGCTAATTTTTTTTTTATATACATATTTTTAGTTGTTCAGCTGATTTCTTTCTATTTTTTTAGTAGAGACGGAGTCTCGCTCTTGCTCAGGCTGGTCTCAAACTCCTGAGCTCAAACAATCCGCCCACCTTGGCCTCTCAGAATGCTAGGATTACAGGCATGAGCCACCGTGCGCGGCCACATCATTTCATTTTTGTACAAAGGTGGTAATTTTCTTGATTTACTGACCATACTGAAAATTGAACATTCAGTACTCAAACTGAGTTCCCCTTCTCTTAACCTTCAGTGGTGGTAGTGTCCTCTTCTCTGCCTAGATTTGTGTTCTTTGGAGGTGTATGATTCTCTGCACTGTTCTTTCCCTTGTATAGTTTTTCTCCATAGCCTCTCTAGGATTAATCTCTTTCTGTTTCCACATCCTCCATCTAAATCTTAGTCCTGGTATTTATCACCTCATGTGTGGTAAGCAGTATTTCCTTATTATCCTTATGTGATAAGTAGTGTTTCCTTGGTCTCTGGGCATGTAGGTTCACTAATCTTAATTCCCTTCCCTCTTCTCTCAAGATACTTCTGAAGTGCTATCTTCATCATGATAATCTTGTGAGGTCTTCGTACAGTCTCATCTGGAATGCCCTCTACGCTTGAAGATACCTTAGATCCTGCCCCAACCCCTCATTCGTACACCTTCACCCTACTGTATAAGCTACACTATATATGTTCAGCCTGTATCATTTGGTTCTTCATCTCTTTTTAATTGTTCTAAGTTTTTTTATGTGTATTTTATGTGTGTCTTATCATCTAGACTAATCAATCTTTTGATGTCACATATTTGTCCTCTATTTTGTTAGCCTTATCACGATTTCTGTTGTAATATTTCTTTTTTTTAAAAAAGCTTACTGATATTAATTAGGTGAGTTTTAAAGTCAATATTTACTTTTCTTCTTACACATGGGTAATTAGAAGTCAAGCAAATATTTGATGATTCAAGCAGTCGGAACAGGGCATTTATACTGTCATTCTCATGCATAGATAAATCAGTACTTTTCTTCAACTCAAAGTTCTGTAGCAATAAGAGATGAAGATGGGATAATATGTAGAGCTCTTTAGATGATCTTTAACCTCAGATGTCTGTTTAATGAGAAAAAAACTTAGGACTAGTTCTACATAATGAAACTCGTAAGAACTTAACATGTACTTGTGCTCAGAATCAGCTTCAGATTTTTTCCTTGCTGCTGTGCCTCTGCCTTGGTTGGGTTTGATGCACTTGTGACCAGGAACCTCCCATGGTAAATTCACACCCAGTTTGTACTTAGGGATCTGCCTTTTTTTTTTCCCTTTAAAAAATGTTTTTGCATATCATTTCCTATCTACTTATCCCCTCATTTCTAAGCCCATATTGATGTATATTTACTTGATCCATTGGGAAAAGAATACCAATGCCTCTTTCTGTTGTGCTTCTGTTAGCTATTGTTTTTGGAAGACTGAGTAACTTTCCATATAAACCTTTAAGATTGTGAAATAGAACATATACAGAAAAATGATATAAAACACATGTGTGATATAGTAGATAAATGTAAAGTGAACATCCATGTAACCACCACCCAGATTAAGGATCACAATGTATTGTCACCCTAACCTGAAAGTTCTTCACATATGCCTTCCTGATCACACTTCCTCTCATTCTGTCTGAAGAAAATCACTACACTGACTTCTATGGTAATCAGCCCCTTGCTTTTCTTCATACTCTTTCGACTCATGTATACATCCATAATATAATTTAGTTTTGCTTATATCTGAATGTTATATTTAGATTCATACTATATATATATTCTCGTGTGCCTTGCATATTTTGTTCAACATCGGTTTTAAAATACGTACATATTGTTGAACATAGCTCTAGTTTATTCACTGTTACCATTATAAAACATTTCATTGTATAATATTCATGTTTTTCCTTCTATTATTGATGGTCCTTTAAGTTATTTTGGTTTTGAGCTATTATAAGTAATGCTGCTTTGAAATTAAGCCCTGTAAATTTCTGTACTGGTGCACATGAGCATGCATTTCCGGGAGAATTGTTGTCATGGAGTATGTGTATTTTCAACTCTAGCATATAATATGCTAAACTCTTTCCAAAGAAGTTACTAATTTATACTCTACTGGCAATCTGATTAGAGTTTTCTTTTGTCTATCTTGTCCTTAACATTTGTTATGATCAGAGTTTTCACATCAGCCAATTTGTTGGGTGTAGTGGTCTCTCATGTTTTTTTTTTAATAGCTTTATTGAGAATTGAGATATAATTCACATACTATATAAATTCACCACTTAAAATGTCCAATTCATTGGTTTTTAGTATATCCACAGAGTTGTGCAACCATAATCAAAGTCAGCTTTAGAATACTTTCATCACCCTACAAAGAAATTCCATGCTTTCACTTCTCCCCAATCCCTCCAGTCCTAGGCAACCACTAATCTACTTTCTCTCTGTGGATGTTTGCCTGTTCTGGATATTTCATATAAATGGAATCATACAATATGTGGTCTTTTGTAAATGTCTTCTTTCACTTAGCATAATGTTTTTAATGTTGTAGCATGTAATGATACTTCATTCCTTTTTATTATTGAATAATATTCCATTGTATAGATATGCCACATTTTATGTATACATTCATCATTGATGAACAATTCAGTTGTTTCTACTTTTTGGCTATTTTAAATAACATTGCTATGTACATTCATGTACAAGTTTTTGCATGGACATTTGTTTTTATTTCTCTCAGAATAAAGAATAAAATTGCTGGGTCATACAACTCTATGCTTTTGAAGACCCACTGGACTGTTTTCCAAGCAACTGTACCATTTTATATTACCATTGTGATTACTGTAGCTTTGTAGTAACTTTTGAAGTATACTGTACATCTTCCAACTTTGTTCTTCTTTTTAAAGGTTCTTTGTTCTTCCTTGGTCCTTTAAATCTTCATATGAATTATATTAATAGAATCAGCTCGTCAGTTTATGCAAAAAGGTCAACTGAGATTTGACAGGACTTACATGTATCTGTAGATCAATTTAACAATAGTAGGTCTTCCAACCCATGAACATGGGCTATATTTCCATTTATTTAGGTCTTTTTAAGTTTGTTTCAACAATATAACTTTTATACCTAAGTATTTTAGTGTTTTTGATGCTTTTGCAAATGGCATTGTTTTCCTAATTTTATTTTCTAATTGTTTGTTGTAGAGGACATTTTGTCTGGGAACGGTTCCTTGTTATTTTTCTCAGAACATGCCTGTGGGCTTGCAAACGAGCCAGGGCGCCCTGATCTGCAAACAGGAGGGGCTAGAGAGTTCAGATGCAAACATCTGCTCTCCGGAGACGAAACAACAAGGAACGGGACGTGTTGAGTCGGGACAGCGTGGGAACAAAGACATTGCGGTGGAACAGTTACCAAACAGGCTATGTTAAAAATAAAGATGCTGCAGGAGGAAGGCACTGCAGTCTTGTACCCTCTTTGTGTGTGTCTCTTTGTCTCTGTGTTCATTCCTCGTGCCTAGAAACGGGCCACGACAGTTCATTGCAAGTGTATAAATATAAAACTGATTATTGTGTATTGATCTTGTAGTCTGCAACCTTGATGAACTCATTTATTAGTTCTAATAAGTTTTTAGTGGATTCTTAGGATTTTCTATGTACAAGATCATGTCATCTGCAAATAGAAATAGTTTTACTTCTTCCTTTCCAATCTGGATGTCTTTTATGGTACATTCTTGCTTAATTCTCCTGGCTAGAACCTCCAGTATAATTAAAAGAAGTAGTGAGAGAGGACACCCTTGCCTTGTTCCTGATTTTAGGGGTAAAGCATGCAGTCTTTTATCATTGAGTTTGATGTTAGCCATGGATTTTTCATAGATACCCTTTATCAGATTTAGGAAGTTCCTTCTGTTCCTAGATTGTCAAGTGTTTTTATCATGATGGATTGCTGAATTTTTTTTTTTTAATGCAGCCAGTTCCACCAGGGTTTTGAATTTTTTAAAATGCTTTTTCTGCATCTGTTGTGATGATCATGCGTTTTTTGTCATTTATTCTGTTGATTTGGTTTAGATCAATAGATCTTTATTATTTGCATTAATTGATTTGCAGATATTAAGCCAACCTTGCATTCCTGGAGTAGATCTCACTTGGACATGGTATATAATCCTTTTTATATGTTCCTGGACTTAGTTTCCTAGTATTTTTTTTTTTTTTTTTTTGAAGATTTTCACATCTGTAAGAGACATTGATCTATAGTTTCTTGTGTTTTCTTTGTCAGGTTTTGGTATCAGGGTAATACGGCTTCATAGAATAAGTTTGGAAATGTTCCTTTCTGTCCTTTTTTGGGGGAAGAATTGATGAAGAATTAGTATTTTTCTTTAAATGTTTCTTAGAATTCACCACTACAGCTATCAGAACCTGGCCTCTTCTTGTGGGTAGTTTTTTGATTACTAATTTAACAGAAGTCCACAATACTGAATGACTTTTAAAAATCTTCTGTCTTGGCAGATAAGGAGGATTACACATATGGCACTGCAACCCGAAGTGTGGTCAACCGCAGCTGGAAGACATCTGTAAATCTTGGTGCATTGATTAAAATTCCTGGAGTTTGGGACCCTTTTGTGAAGAGTTACGTAGAGGTAAGTAGAATTTTTTATGAAATTTATTAGTGGAATGTCTTTTTCTGGTTTGAATGATTTCTGTTTATTTTACTAGTATACTGTAAATGTTACTCTGTTTATTTTCACCAATGGGTAACCCATCATCGTCAAATATCTATAAATTAAATAGCAGTATAGTCGTAAATGTTACTTCTATCTTATTCTTTTTGAGCTTAAAAGCAGGAACATCTTTTATGATTTTGTGTGATATAGAAGGAAAGAAGACAAAAAGTAGATTACAATATACAGGATGAAGAATAATGGCTTTTAGGAAGTTCATAAGAATGTTCTGTCATCCCAGAGTCATTGTAAAAGGACTGAGGGCCTTGGCACTGGGCACTAGGAATAAATCTTTAAAATAATTTGCTTTTTGAAAGTTAATGAGTGCTAAAGTGATAATTGTGTTGTCTGAAGATAATCCCCAAAACCATATCCCAGTGAATATGGGAATTCTTGGGTTAGGATGGAAACAGAACGAAAGGAACTATAACTAGTATACACTTACTTTGTGTCTGAAAGTGTGTGGGGCACCAAGGTTAGTTGCATCCCATTGCTAGTCATTAGTGTACCCTGCTTTGGAGACTCTTACAAGAAAAGTTCTTATGTTGAAGTTACTGCATTTTTCAGTAACAAAATATCATAAGGAAAAAATGGGAAACCATGCAGGCCTTTGTTGGAAGTGATTGTCTGTGTTCCACTGATGTTGTAACATGCACTGGTGAAAGCAAAAAATAGTGTTTATTGTTCCCTGTACAGTACTGTTTGTCAGTTTTGTGATTTTTTTTTTTTTTCCCATCAGTAAAGTTAAGGTGATCGTCTGTATAGCTATCTTACAGAATTTAGCGAAGATATCATGACTTATTTTATATAGATGCTGGAATTCTATGGGGATCAAGATGCAGCCCGAGAGGTACTCACCAATTATGCATATGATGAAAAGTTCCCATCAAATCCAAATGCTCATATCTACTTATACGACTTTCTAAAGAGAAAGAAGACACCAAGAGCAAAACTGCTAAGTGTGCTTAAGGTATAGAATTTTTATTTCAGTGTTTGAATGGGGGTGGGGATCTACATTAAAATGTTTTTACGTCATTGCTTTCCAACTTTAATATAGCACGCATAGAAAATTATAATATATGTACAGTAAACTGAGATAAACAGAGAAAGTTGGCTCCAGCTGCAGACTCCAGGCAGGCACCCTCTATACCACACCCCTCCCCTGCCCAAGTGAGGCTGAGGCGAGAGGGTCAGTATTTTAGAAACTCTTTGCCACCTGGTTGGAAAACTCTGCATTGATATTTTTGAAAATTGATTTTATTGAAATTTAATTTTCAGACAGTAAGACACGTAAGTGTACACTTGTATACATTTTAACAAATGCATATATCCACGAACCACCATGATAATCAAGATATAGAACATTTCTATCATCCCCTGACTTAAAAGTCCCTCATTTCCCTTTGCAGCCAATCTGCCCACATACCCCTAATCCGAGGTAATCACTGATCTGCTTTTTGTCACTATAGATTAAATTTTACCTCTTGTAGAATTTCATATAAGTGGAATCTTATAGTATGTACTCTTTCTAATCTGGCTTCTTTCGCTTAGCATGATGTATTTGAGATTCATTCATGCTGTTGTATCAGTAATTTGTTTCTTATCACTGCCGAGGAGTATTCCATTTTTATATGTTTTACTTCTTTTTTTTTTTTTTTCCGAGACAAGAGTCTCACTCTCTTGCCTGGGCTAGAGTGCCGTGGTGTCAGACTAGCTCACAGCAACCTCAAACTCCTGGGCTCAAGTGATCCTCCTGCCTCAGCCTCCTGGGTAGTTGGGACTACAGGCACGCTCCACCGTGCCTGGCTAATTTTTTCTATTTTTAGTTGTTTGGCTAATTTCTTTCTATTTATAGTATAGATGGGGTCTCGCTCTTGCTCAGGCTGACCTCGAGCTCCTGAGCTCAAGCAGTCCTCCCATCTCGGCCTCCCAGAGTGCTAGGATTACAGGTGTGAGCCACCGTGTCCGGCCCACGTTTTACTTCTTGATAGACATCCGGGTTATTTTTACTTTTTGGCTATTATGAATGATGCAGCTATGAACATTCACGTGCAAGTCTTTGAGTACACATTGTATTTTCATTTTTTTGGGGCAGCTACCTAAGAGTGGAATTGCTACCTAAGAGTAGTAAGGAAAGTATATGTTTAACTTCTTAATAAACTGCCCAACTATTTTCTGAAGTGACTGTACCATTGACATTGTCATATCATTGTACGAAAATTCAGTTTCTCTACATCCTCTCCAACGCTTGGGATTGTAGCTCTTTTGAATTATATACAGCCATTTTAGTGGGTGTGTAGTGATATCTCATGTGGCCTTAATTTGCATTTCCCTAATGACTAATGATGAGCATGTTTTAATATATCTGTTGGCCAGTCCTATATCTTCTTTTGTCAAGTATCTTTTGAATATTTTGTGTATTTGAGGGGCGCAGGTTATTTTTCTTCTTACTGATTTGGAAGTTTTTATGTAATCTGGATACAAGTCCTTTGTTAGGTATATGGATTGTGAATATTTTCTGTCAGAATGTGCCTTGCCTTTTTGTTTTTTTAACAGTGTCTTTCAAAGAGCAGATACTTACAATTTTAATGAAGTTCAATTTATACATTTTTTTCTTTTATGGTTGTGCTTTTTGTGTAAGAAATCTTTGCCTGTTCCAAGATAATAAAGATTCTCTTCTATGGTTTTTTGTTTTTTTTTTTTTGAGACAGAGTCTCACTCTGTTGCCCAGACTGGAGTGCAGTGAGTGGTGTGATCATAGCTCACTGCAGCCTTGAACTCCTAGGCTCAAGCAGTCCTCCTGCCTCAGCCTCCCAAGCAGCTAGGACTGCAGCTACAAGTGCCCGCCACCACTCTTGACTAATTTTTCTTGTTTTTTGTAGGGATAGGGTTGTTGTCCAGGCTGATCTTGAACTCCTGGCCTCAAGCACTCTTCCTGTCTCAGCCTCCCAAAGTGCTGGGATTACAGGCATGAGCCACCACACCCAGCCTTCTTCTGATTTTTTTTCTAGATATGCTATATAGTTTTATGTTTAGATCTATGATAGATTTTTAGCTATTTTTTTTGTGTGTGTGTGCTGCGAGGTAAGCATAAAGGTTTATTTTTTTCCATATGATTGTTCCAGCACTATTTGTTGAAAACTGTCCTTTCCTCATTGAATTACATCGGTAACTTTGTTGAAAATCAGTTGGCTGTATATGGAGTCCATTGTGTCATTAGTGTAGCTTTATAGCAAGTCTTAGAATCATATCATGAAAATCATACAAATTTGTTCTTTTTCAAAATTGTTTTTGGCTTTTCTAGGTCCTATGACTTTCCATATACATTTTAAAATCAACAAAAAAAATCTTACTGAGATTTTGAGTCTCTAGCTCAGTTCTGAGAGAATTGACATCTACACAATATTGAGGTTTCCAAAGTGTGAACATGGTATGTGACTCCATTCATTTAGGGCTTTAATTTCTCTCTGAAATGTTTTGTAGTTTTCAGTGTGTGTACTTTGTGAATTTTGTCCCTAACCGTCGCCGCTATTCCCAGAGCTTTTTCATTATCCCAAACAGAAACTCCTCACTACCCTCTCCCCGCAGTCCCTGGAAACCTCTAATTTCATCTCTGTGAATTTGACTATTTTAGGTACATCCTATAAGTGGAATCATACATTTGTCATTTTGTGTCTTCCTGGTTTCACTGAGCATAATGCTTTCAAGGTTCATGCATGTTGTAGCATACATCAGCATGTCCGTTCTTTTCAAGGCTGAGTAATATTCTGTTGTATGTGCATATGACATTTTGCTTATCCATTCATCTGTTGATAGACATTTGGGTTGTGTCCACTGTTTTGGCTACTATTAATATAAATAATGCAACTGTGAAGATTAGTGTGCAAATATTTGAGTCCCTGTTTTTCAATTCTTTTGATCATATGTGGAGTGGAATTGTTGGATCATATGGTAATGCTGTGTTTAACTTTTTGGGGAACCATTAAACTGTTTTCCACGGCAGCTACACTATTTTACATTCCCACCAGCAATTCCTGATCCTCACCAGCACTTGCTAGCCCTGCCTCCACGCCCCTCTCCCTTTTATTTTTTATTTTTTGAAACAAAGTCTCACTCTGTTGCCCGGGCTAGAGTGAGTGCCGTGGCGTCAGCCTAGCTCACAGCAACCTCACACTCCTGGGCTCAAGCAATCCTGCTGCCTCAGCCTCCCGAGTAGCTGGGACTACAGGCATGTGCCACCATGCCCGGCTAATTTTTTCTATATATTTTTAGTTGTCCAATTAATTTCTTTCTCTTTTTAGTAGAGACGGGATCTTGCTCTTGCTCAGGCTGGTCCCTTTTATTTTTGAGAATAGCTATCCTAATGGGTGCCAAGTGCTATCTCATTGTGGTTTCGATTTGCATTTCCCTAATGGCTAGCGATGCTGTGCATCTTTTCATGTGCTTATTGGCCATCTGTTTATCTTTTTTTGAAGAAATGTCTATTTAAGTCCTTTGTTCTTTTTTGAATTGGGTTGTTTGATTTTTGTTGTTAAATTGTAGGAGTTCTTTACATACTTTGTAGTCAGTTTTAAATCATGATATTTTAGAGGTGAAAGGAAAAGTCCTTTTCAGTCTCAAAAAATGACTGAGAAAAGTTCTTATCTATCAATCTTCTTTTAAAAGGCCAGTTATCTCTGATCTATACTTACATGTTCATCAAAATTGACATTTCTAAACCTTCAGATGTGGAAACTACATTTTATAAATTTTCCAACAGGCTTTGTTTTACTAAACATAATAGTTTTAAAGTTTCTATTTTTATTTTGCTCCTTAAGATTTCCTTTTATTCATTTGTAAGACAAAATATTAATGATAGTTACAAGACTGTGCCTTTACTCAGGTTGCCAATCATTAATGGGTTTTTAAAAGATTTTTTTAAATGTTACAGAAAATATCTTTATTCAACATGTAATTTCTTATTTATATTCAAGACATGACAGACTTAGAGAAATTCTGTTTTTCCTTTTGAAAAATACAGTAT